TTCTATTTGAAGAAAGGACAACTACCTTATTACATTATTGTGTTATTGAAGGTGTCCAACAGAGCAGTGACGTATTGGGACAACACGCGAAAAATAAAACCACTTTAAAAATATGATGTTAAAAGCTTAGCGTGATAATCCATTTTGCCTCGTGATCTAATTCACTCCCATTCGTCTCATCTTTGAAAATCAGTAATATTATAATCTTGTGAAATATTAAAATTCATTACGATTTAATAAAAAACACTTATAGAACTTCATATTTAAAATTAACGACAGGTCAATTTAGTTTACTTTTATTCAAAAAAGTAAATATTTGATAATTTTCTCTTTAAACGTTGCGATAAACGTTTTGTTTTGTCTTTAAATATAAATCGAATACAGTATAAAATTAACGTTAATTATACCGGAACTTTGCCATAAAAGCATTATTTTAGTTCATAAATTTCTAAATTGTTCTCAATAAATTCGAAGAGAGTAAAATATCGTTGTTTATTTTATTTTAATATCTCTATTTATGTAATTATCTGCTCTATGATGTTTTTATTATTTGGATAAGAAACAACTTCCACGAAGTATAATGAGATAAAATATTTAAGTGCAAAACCATCTGCTTTATTTGAATAGATTATTTTCCATTAGTTTCAAACTATGACTTAGTTGACAGAAACACATTTACTGAATTTATGGGATAGAGCAACGTAAGTCATAGGGACTTACTGTGAGAAACGTCTATTTTGGGCAGGGATATCCAATTCTCAGTCCACTTAATATTTTTATGCGGCCCACTGGATCCTAAACTTTTTAAATATCGCTACATTCTAATTTATTTTGATAAATTATGTCGTAAAACTTATTCTCGTTTCAGTAAATACACTGAAACGAGAATAAGTTTTGACCTAGCCTAACAGACCAAGCAGTTCCGTTCCCTAAACACTGTCAGTTTGGTCGTGGTTCACGCCTCGCTCGGTCGGGCTGGTCACGTGGAGTTTTTTGAGTTTTCTCGACGTCAGTAAAGCACGAACAGGGATCAGGCACGTTTAAAACACCACTCGGAAGTCATTATTCCAGCGCTTTATATCTACCGTATTAAGCGTATACAACTATTAATACTAGCAATTTAAAAAAAAAAAAAAAAACTTGGCCAATCCTGATTTAGGGGGTAGGCAAGTAAACAAAACCCAAAAAAACTCTACGCTGCCACCTTGTTGATGAGACAAACCCACGACAAACTACTACAGTTCAGTTTCGTCCAATAAAACAAACTAATGATTCCCTTAAATGTAGATTTATCTACCTTCATTTTTTTACATACAGGAGCCCTTTCAGTTAATGTTTTTTTATTATATTGAGGATTATTAGTTAGGAAATGTGCAGCACCTTACTTCTCTATAAGGAGGCTTTAAAGTTTAAACAATCGCATATGACTAATTGATATACAAACACCATTTCAACTCTTCAGAATAAGTCGCTGCAACATTTTAGTATTAATTTCCAGCTGTTATATATAACGGGGAAAATATGTAGTTCAGGATTTTTTATATAGATGTTAATGTGTGCGAGAGACACGATTATTTTAATCAGTTTTGAAGCTTAAAATATTCCTGTCTTTTCTGGAAAATTTCTGAAATATTGCTGGGCGGTTCATGTATTTCTGCAACGATGCTATAAAATTTTAGTGGTTAATGATCGATGAGTAAAAAGATACAGTGAGTCGTGTGCAGGGACTGATATAGGGTTTACATATGGAGTAACAGGGCTTAAGTACTGGGCCTTCAATTGTCAACGGTCCAAAAAAATTGAATTACTGTGTTATCATAAATTTTTAATACTTCTTCATTAACAATGAGAGCTTATCGTATGGTAAAAAATAGTTAATATTAATAATATAACAATAATGATAATTTATAGTATTACTTGCGTTAACAAAAAATGAGGCCCCATTAGACTTCAATAATCCCTAGACCTCGAAAAACCTTAATCCGCTCCTGGTCGCGTGTCGTATCCTCTAGTAAACTTAGATTTTAGTCGTTATCAACATTTACGATATTTTACAAATCTCATCCCTACTTTCAAAATTAAGCTTTTTGCCATTTTGTAATAGTTGATAATATAATTTGTAAATAAAATACCATAATAGATGGCGCTATACAAAATTTTCAATTTTTTTGCCAGGAAAGTTACGCAACTCGTTTCAGGATTTCTTAAGTGCTCTAAGTTCTCACGAATATCATCCTTAAAGACAAACGCATTAGTATATTGTCTATGTTATGCGTATATCGAAACTGTGCTTACGATATGTCAAATGACTTCTCTGTGGACAGGAGAGAAAAAGGCATGATAGCAATCTCGCTACTTTCTAATATATGATGAAGCCGTTTAAAATGAATAGTTCGGGATTCTGAAAGCTGCACTCTGTACATATTTTGTGACAAAGGAAAACCTCTATACCGTTTTGACAGACGTATGGCTGATGTGGTTAAGGAGTTAGCCTATTTTTCTGGTTATCTGAAATCGAATCAGGATGAGCAATCCCGAATCATTTATGTTTAGTTTGGCTCGAATATCGGCCCCATTATTCTATCATCGTCGGACTACCCGAACCAACATGGGCATAGAAAAAAACCAACTTGGTTTAACCTGGGTTGACTGTAGTTTGAACATCTTTGTTCTGATAATTTATACTGGTTTAGGATAATTAATAATAAAAATAATTTCAGGAATTTGTATACCTTTTTTGTTATATTGTAATAAAGGTTTCATTTTTTTCTTTGCTGTCTTTATTCAATCAAACGAAAATGAAGAAAAATTACAGATTCCAACCAGGGCTTGCGAAATCTTCAGGAAAATGAACGTCGTCTATGTCTTTCAATTACACAAATAACAAACGCATGAAGACAATAGTATATGCAAAGAAAAACGAGTCTACAATTTGTAATAATTTAAGTTAAACTTTAAATCTTTTTAAAGAAATACAATTATAAAAAGTACAATTTATCTGTTCTTTTAAAATAACGTTACAGTAATACCTCGACTTACGCGATTTTCAAATCTCATCGATTCATCTTTTGTTCGAGCGCCACGCAACTATTGATTACTCATTCCACCCACACTATTGTTCAGCTTACATGTTCCGACGTGTCGCGTAGAATCGACAGATAGCTACAATTTATTTTGTGTTATTTATTTCTGTATTTGTTATATCTACGGAGACTTGAGAGACTCTATGTGGTGATTTCTTGTAACCGTAAACGAATCAAAAGACGAGATAACATTAACGAGAACATTTATTAGCTTACATACATCCGACTTGGATTTTACACAAATTGCGAAATTATACCCCGAATTACGCGAATTCGACTTACGCGGTTATCTCTCGGTCCCACCTATCNACAATATTTTACAAAACTCATCCCTACTTTCAAAATTGAGCTTTTTGCCATTTTGTAATAGTTAATAATATAACTTTTAAATAAAATACCATGATAGATGGGGCTACACAAAGCTTTAAATTTATTTGCCGAGAAAGTTACGCAACAGGTTACTGGATTTCTTAAAGTGCTCTAAGTTCTCATGAACATCATCATTAAAGACAAACGCATTAGTATACTGTATATATTATGGGTGTATCGAAACCGTACATCGCGATATTTCAAATGACTTCTTAGTGGACAGGGGAGAGAAAGGCATGAAAACAATCTCGTTACTGTCTAATATATGATGAAGCCGTTTAAAATGAATAGTTCGTAATTCTGAAAGCTGCAGTTTGTACATATTTTGTGACAAAAGAAAACGTCTATACCATTCTGACAGACAGATGGCTGATGTGGTTAAGGAGTTAGCCTATTTTTCTGGTTATCTGAAATCGAATCAGGATGAGCAATCCCGAATAATTTATGTTTAGTTTGGCTCGAATATCGGCCCCATTATTCTATCATTGTCGGACTACCCGAACCAACATAAGCATAGAAAAGGACCAACTTGGTTTAACCTGTGTTGAACGTAGTTTGAACATCTTTGTTATGATAATTAAAACTGGTTTAGGTTAATTAATAATAAAAATAATTGCAGGAATTTATATAGCTTTTTTGTTTTATTGTAAAAAAGGTTTCATTTTTTCTTTGCTATTTTTATTCTATCAAACGAAAATAAAGAAAAATTACAGATTCCAACCAGGGCTTGCGAAATCTTCAGGAAAATGAACGTCGTCTATGTCTTTCAATTACACAAATAACAGACGTATGAAGTTGATAGTATATGCAAGGAGAAACGAGTCTACAATTTGTAATAATTTAAGTTAAACTTTAAATCTTTTTAAAGAAATACAATTATAAAAAGTACAATTTATCTGTTCTTTTAAAATAACGTTACAGTAATACCTCGACTTACGCGATTTTCAAATCTCATCGATTCATCTTTTGTTCGAGCGCCACGCAACTATTGATTACTCATTCCACCCACACTATTGTTCAGCTTACATGTTCCGACGTGTCGCGTAGAATCGACAGATAGCTACAATTTATTTTGTGTTATTTATTTCTGTATTTGTTATATCTACGGAGACTTGAGAGACTCTATGTGGTGATTTCTTGTAACCGTAAACGAATCAAAAGACGAGATAACATTAACGAGAACATTTATTAGCTTACATACATCCGACTTGGATTTTACACAAATTGCGAAATTATACCCCGAATTACGCGAATTCGACATACGCGGTTATCGTTCAATCCCACCTATCGCGTAAGTTCGGGGTATTACTGTATTGCTAAGTTATTTACAATTAAAGTTTCTCACCCTTTCTGTTTGATGTTTCTTCGCAAATAAAAGCTATATAATTACTTTCTAGTATTGCAGTCCGTGAATTATAACTGCACTCGCTGGTTGGGTGAAATTAAAACACGTGGCTCTTATCCTAACACGTGAGTCTTTCTTAATTATGAGTCATTAACAAGGTAGCTGTGTGAATAGTACGAATATAAATATCGGATCTGTTTGGTGAAAAATCATTCTCATTCAGTTACAACCTGATTTAGATCATCTCTGACAATGAAGACCTTTCTTCTCGCTCTTTGCTTGGTGTTGATTGGTAAGTTTGATTTAATATTTTAGATTGGTTTAGTGTATTTCGGTGTGTACGTTAATCAATGAAAATTTATTTTTATTTAAAATATTTACTTTAATTAATATTTTAGTTCGTTTAATTTAGAAATTCAAAATTATGAACTAAGCGTTTAAAATACATTTAACCTATTAAGTCTGAACATATAAAAACACGATATTTAATATCTATGGCATTTGTTTCTTAATATCAAATATTATTTGCCATAACCTCTTGACAGGTAAGGTAAATGTGTTTTACAAATGCCCCTAATTTTAATTCGAAGTACGTAAATATTTTTTAAAATTTATTTTGAAAATTTTATTAATTCGAGAATCCTCAGATTAAATGACACAGTTATAATTGAAATATAATTATTACATCTATATTTAATGCTAATTACTATCTTCGCAGGTATGGTGTATGCCAAAGACGGTTATCTGGTTAGCAGACACACTGGATGTAAACTGAGTTGCGCACCGGTGATTGGAGACAGGTATTGCAGCATTGAATGCAAATCTATGAACCACAAAGGGGATGAAGGCTACTGTTACGCCTTGGCTTGTTATTGCAGAGGAATGCCAGAAAATGCGGAAGTTTACCCTCTTCCCAATAAATCCTGTGGAAAATAAAATCACTCTCTACTCGCTCTCGGCAATTATAATGATTGTAATTTCCTTTAACTTTGAGACGTCGAAATAAACTTTCGAAGCATTAACTTGACGATTTGTGTATTGTTTCGTTTTATGTTTTCATATAAATCCTCAATAGTTTCGTGAACGATGAAGCACATAAAAGACAGTTTATTACGTTTTTTGAAATGTTGAGAAGAACACAGCGCTATATTGTTTTTACTATGCATTTGCATTACGAAATTTAGTGGACAGTTGATAGAAACGTGAAAATTCAATATAATAATTGAAAATTATATCTAGAGCAGACAAAAATTCGGTTGTTTATAATTGATAAACTTTCAAACTAATAGGAAAAGATGTTGGTAATTTAGTGTGCAAGACATTACAGTAGAAAACGATGAATTTGTTGATGCCATAGCTCGACGACTGTTAAAAAATAGCATAATTTATTTATCTCTTCCAAATAAATATGTGACTAGAAAATATTTAAAAACATCTTTTCTATAATCTAAAGTAGATTTATTTCCATTTCGAAGAAAGTACAACGTATTTCACAATTCTAAATCCGCAGAAGTTATGTTGATCTTTGTCAGTGCCATGCATTGTTTATATTATACAATGCATGGCACTAACAAAGCAAGAGTAAATTTAAATTATTTTGATAGTAGTACCTGCAGTCAGCGCAAAAGTTTAGTAAAGTTTATCACGTTTATAATAATTACACACAGCTGCATCCCGACAGATGGGTGTAATTGTTATAAAGTCCGGATGACGGTAATAAAATAATGATGCTAAATTGCAGGCGTATACAATTGATTTTAATTCATAAATATTTCATTTTCGAAATGATTACAAGAAAATAAAACAAATAATTATGTAGTATATCTAGGTTTCGGCATTAATACAATTATCTGATCTATAAAGATTTTATTATTTAGAACAGATATAACTATTTTACAAAATCCACTCAACGTCATTATAATTATTATTAAATAAATATATTAATCTGCTGAACTGTTTTTATATAAATTATTGTTAAGAAATGTTTATAAAACGATTATTTTTATTTTACACGAATTTTAGAGCATTTTATTTTATATATATATATTTTTTTTAATACATGGAAAAATCAAGAAAGAACAAAAGAAATTTTTAATATCTTTCTACATTTTATTACTGACTTTACACCATAGAAAAAAACTTAACAAAGTAATTAACTAAATATAATTGTTTAAAATATATATTATATTCTCTAAATTACTGCGACAGTGACATAGCGCGGAATAGATTCGCTATTACTGCGACAGGTAACACACAGCAATTGCCTGCGTGGAGTGTCGTAATGTTTTCCTACTGTATACATTATACCTTTCCTGTTAACAATAGAGCAGTAATGGTTATATATATATATAACTTCCTTCGACGAGAGAAGGTTTTGAATCGAAGTAATGTTACTTCTGTTGTAAACTAAAGATTTGTATAATCTGGGCTTCCTGCCAATAATCTTTTCTTATTTAGTGTGAATTTTCATCTGTCTAACTGGTTCCTCGATTAAAAAAGGAGAGACAGACAGACTGATAGGAGAAGATAGTCGGAATTTCTGGGTCTACAATTTCTGCTTAATATTTTTTCTACAAACGAAATATTTACGATAACACACAATCTTAATCTTTGCTGTTAGTTTTAGCCCCAGTAACGTTGGACTTATCTGCTAGTTTTTTATAAATACTTAATTACAGTCGACCCCTTATAACGCGGATTTATATAATGCGGATTCGTATATCGCGGCGAAAAAATTGCGACCGTATTCGTATAAAGACGCTAAAAGAGACTCGTAATATGCGGTAAAATGTCATCGCCGACTCGTGTCGCGACAGGATTGGTCGAATCTGGTCCAATAGTGGAAGAGCAGCCGAACTACAGTAGAGCATCGATTATCCGACTCAATTGGGGACTGGGATTGGTCGGATAACTGAAAAAACGGATAACCGAAAAATATGAAAAAATATATTATTAGTATAGTATATTATTGTATCTCATGTAATTAGTATATTAGTATATCGCTATTAACCTACTTCGCGTTGAATTTTCATCGATGTTAAGCCTAACAAAAGTTTTTTAAATATTATTTTATTGCTCACAAAACAAACAGCCACTCATAATTAGAAAATTAAGTCTTCTTTAAATACTGGCCTCCCTTTCATGGCGACCCACCGTTGCCAGCTAAAACAGCAAAACTTTAACAAAAATAATATTAAAGTAGCCAAGACATAGCCAAATATTGTAGCGCCACATCACTAGCGGACATTTTTGAATTTGCCGACTAGAACACGGTCGGTTAACAGATGTGACGGTTGATCGGGAGTCGGATAATCGATGCTCTACTGTACTTACACGATACCAAGAGTTTATGCGGGTAAGTTTAGTTTACTATCGTCTGTACAGTATATAGGCCTAAATTAGATACTATAAGTCTAATACAGTATTGTAATTTTATACATTTCTTGTGAAAGAAACATTTCTGATTCAACGGCCATAAAAATTATTTCTATTATTCATGTCTCCAAAGTTCAACGAATTTTTCGCAGAAAAATAATTTATTAGAAAACGCGCCCGCCGTTTGGTGCGCTGCTCCGCGACGAAAACAAGATTAAGCAATGGCGNCCCTTTCATGGCGACCCACCGTTGCCAGCTAAAACAGCAAAACTTTAACAAAAATAATATTAAAGTAGCCAAGACATAGCCAAATATTGTAGCGCCACATCACTAGCGGACGTTTTTGAATTTGCCGACTAGAACAAGGTCGGTTAACCGATGTGACGGTTGATCGGGAGTCGGATAATCGATGCTCTACTGTACTTACACGCTACAAAGAGTTTAGGCGGGTAAGTTTAGTTTACTATCGTCTATACAGTATATAGGCCTAAATTAGCTACTATAAGTCTAATACAGTATTGTAATTTTATACATTTCTTGTGAAAGAAACATTTCTGATTCAACGGCCATGAAAATTATTTCTATTATTCATGTCTCCAAAGTTCAACGAATTTTTCGCAGAAAAATAATTTATTAGAAAACGCGCCCGCCGTTTGGTGCGCTGCTCCGCGACGAAAACAAGCTTAAGCAATGGTGTGGTCGAACGGTTCACACTCGGTAAGTAATCCTATATTTTTTTGTTTATAGCGTAGTTTATACGGATTATTCCCCCAAAAAATATACGTATTTTGGAAATGCTGAGTCGGATTAGTCTAGAATCGGTTAATTTTATGGAAGAAAACCTTTCAAACAGCCGTAGTCCGTAAACTTCACACGTGTTGGGCTGCGATTGGCTCATGTATTTAAGGATTTCTACAATGCGAAATTCTTATAAAGTGGAACGTATCTACCGCGTTATAGAGGGATCGACTGTATATCAATATTATTCACTAAAAATTTGTTTACAAACTACATAATCATTTTATTTACTTCAATAATAAAAAGGTAAAGTGAAATTCATTGTAATCATCATATTCGAGGATCAACAATGACCAAATGGATAAAATCACTGAACACAAGTCTTTTTCACTGGTTCGCAGCTGTCCACCTGCAGTTTTCAATAATGTTTTGTCATGTTCACACTTAAATAAATCCCAGTTTTTCACAGAAGTCATGTTAATTTTATGTATGGGTTAGATGCGTAAAGGCAGACCGGCGAAAATCAACGTGGCCTGCACGTAGTGACATTCAAACTCGCAAACAACTACGAAACTTTACTGTTTTATCCACAGGACACTGAACAGAAAGAATTAAAGTTTACCTGAACTAAATTGGAGTGTATATAAATTTAGTTATTCTAAAGACGATGAACTTAGAAGCTCCGAGATACCTGTATACATGTATTAAGTAACTAATTGTATACAGCCGACCCCCTATAACGCGGTAGATACGTTCCACTTTAGAAGAATTTTACGTTGTAGGAATCCTTAAATACACGAGCCAATCACAGCCAGACACGTGTGCAGTTTACGAACTACGGCTATTTGAAAGGTTTTCTTCCATAAAATTAATAGATTCTAGACTAATTTGACTCAACATTTCCAAAATACGTATAATTTTTTGAGAATAATCCGTATAAACTATGCTATAAACAAAAAATTGTAGGATTACTTACCGAGTGTGCACCGTTCGACGACGCCATTGCTTAAGCTTGTTTTCGCCATTGCTTAAGCTTGAGCGACGCATCGAACGGCAGGCACGTGCTTCCTGATGAATTATTTTTTTGTGAAAACTTTGCTGAACTTTGGAGACATCATTAATATAAACATAAATTTTATGGTCGTTAAATAATAAATGGTTTTTTGTAGGTCCGCTGCTCGTTTAAACTCAACGGTTTGTGCAATATCCGCTATTGGTCTAGATTTGACCAATCCTGTCGCGACACGAGTCGGCGATGACGTTTTACAGCGTTATACGTGGATCTTTTAGCGTCTTTATACGAATACGTTCGCAATTTTTTCGCCGCGATATACGAATCCGTGTTACAGGGGGGTCTATTGTATCAAGAATTTTTTTTTATTTTGTAAGTCTTTAATCTATTATTAATGTTAATTAAGGACGATTATATATGCAGCATCTGAGTACCAGTCGATAAAATAATCACTCTATTTTACACTGGGAACCTCTATTTAAGTCACTTATTATTTGTTTCGATTAAACAAAACAAATTCGATTTTTCAAGTGATAAAAGTTCTTATCCTGATGAAGAAGAATTAATTAAAGAAACAGAACCTTTTGGTCTATCACAATTGATTCGTTCATCTTAACATCTGAAAACACAGAACAGAAAAGTGAGATTGCCTCTGGCCATTTTACTCAAAATAAATAAATCTATTCAAACAAGAGTTCTTTTCAATAGAAGATGATAATTTTGAAAAATTATCAACATCTGTATTTTCTTGACAGACTCCATTAACAGATGGCACTGAAATAAGTTCACTTTTTATGATCTTTACTCCAGTGTCGCATAGAAAGAGGCTCGCGTATACAAAATTTTTAGTGTTTCTGTTGTTAAAGGTTTTTGTATGCCAGGTACATATATACCGCACAATT